AAGTTGATACGTTTTTATCATTTCTCATATATATATATTTTTTTTTTAATTTTTTCGAATACAAAGGATATGATCATTCTTCGATCAGTATTCGAAAATTTATGTGTTTCAATGGACACATCGATTTGAATACATAATTTGGATTTAGATAACATTTTATTGAGAAATATAAAACATTTAGATTATTGTTTGAATTTTGGTCGATTTAAAATTTGCTACCCTAAAGTAATTGATATCAAATAAAACACCTCTTTGAGGTAAAATTTTCGAGTGACGAAAGCTGAGCTAGAAACACAAAATTTATGATATCAATTTCGTGACGAGAATTATACGCATTTTTTAACTGCCTTGGAAACGTACGGAAATCTTTTTTTATTTATTCGGAACGTTGCGAAATTCCATCTACTGCTAGAAACACAAAATAAAAAACAGAACTTTTGCAACGATTCGTATGAATAAAAAAGATTTTCCGTACGTTTCCAAGGCAGTTAAAAAATGCGAATAATTCTCGTCACGAAATTGATATATTAAATTTTGTGTTTCTAGCTCAGCTTTCGTCACTCGAAAATTTTACCTCAAAGAGGTGTTTTATTTGATTTACAATTTACTTAGAATTACAAAAAAGATTCAATAAGCATTTTAAGTCTAAATAACACTGTTTGATAGGAACCTTAAATAAATTCCTTAAAGAAGTATGAGTTTTATGAATTAGGAAAAACTTGCAAAGAACTTCTTCAAAGGGCGTCCTACAAAAGCCCTTCTGAAAGCTCTTTTTTGAATAGCGAAAGCAGAGGCCCTTCAATTTGTGCCGCTCCATACAAAAAATTAAGGAGAAAGGAATAACTTTCAGAAAGGCCTTTTCGATAAGATTTTAACTCCTGAAATTATCTGCTGGGTAGTACTTGCGTATGACCACTCAACCGTGTACCTGATCACAAACTTGCACCTTTTTGGCATTTGTCCGAAAAAATTTAATTTTTAACCAAATAAACTAAACGGAAAGAAGGTAAACTCACCAGATAATCAACATGTTCGAAAGAACGTTTCGTTATCAATTTTCGACTACTAATGACAGGAAGCTAAACCTTTTTTCATAGCAAAAATCTGCTTATAATTAGAGGAGTGTCTGCATTGACCTTCATTAAAAACCAGGGCTCGAATCGTAACATCCATTCACGGATCGAAAACAATACGAAAGAAAATTGTGTCATACGTCAGGCAGTATATGTTGAATGGGACAAAGAGTACGTTCACGTATGTCATAATCCGAAAAATGTGTTTTTACGTGACGAGTAATACGAAACGCCACATACGATTCGAGCCCAGGACAATTTAGGTGTGGACCAGGACACCAGGACAATTTGTCTAAATCAGGACAAGTCCTGGAAAACCAGGACGTCTGGCAGCCTTATAGTAAGGGTACTCATCTATACGCGCAAGTCTCATATTTGGGCAATTGGGCAACTTTGCGCAGTGTGTTTCATGAGTACAATTTAAATGTTGTTTATAATTATGGTGACCATATTAACCAACGTAAAATAAAGGACACTTTTTTCAAAATGATTTGGGAATACGTACATAGAAATTGTATGATAAAACTCCCTTACCCATATCGTAATTTAGATCAAATATTTACCAGTTAATTATATTATTTAATTTTACCAGTTCCCCTGCTGTAGCGAAAAATTAAGCCTAATCCTTTTCAAGGACCTCGCAATTCTTTGCTACCAAAATGCGTTTTCCATAATTCATACTGCACGGCGAAGCCAGCACACAGTGGTTCAAAATTGGAATTTAATGTTCATAATTCATCGGAGCCTTCATTTTTCAACCATTTTTTACTAAAAACCAGAAAAAAAATTTATTTTGGTGTTATAAAAAAACATTTACAAATTTTTTTGGTGTAATTTTTTCGTTTTGCGAGAACCATACAATTGTTTTGAACTAGTTTTTGTTATGTAAAATTTATTAGCTGGAGCAGGAGAAAACATTTTGTTCATAATTGCTACTTTTTCTGATTTTTGTTAAAAAATTTAATATAATCAAATAAAATTCACAAATCAGGCTAAACTGGTGTCTTGCAAATATTGTGAGCTTTCATTAAAAAAAATAAAAAATTTAATAAATTAAGTGAAAAATTAAGGCTCCAGTGAATTGCGAACACTAAACGCCAGTTTTAAACCACTGTGCAGCAGGAAGTTTATTGTTCTTTTTCAGTTCAACTGGAAACTCAGCGTGCAATACGATCCTGGGCACAACTTTCCTAGTGCTTATAGATTGTACAAAGATTACCGATTAAATAGAAACCCTTAAGTGGAGTGCGAAACGAACTGGCGAAGGTTTTCATTATATTTTATAAGGGACATTTTTATTTTTCATATTGTGTTTAAAAATTTACCTCTGTAAAATGCAGAGCTGATTTAAAGGACTGTTTAAGAAATAAAGGACAAAAGGCGTCCTTTATTTAAAAAAAAATTATATAGGACAGGGGGTTAAAATAAAGGACTGTCCTTTAAAATAAAGGACGGATGGTCACCGTATTTATAATGTAAGCAGCAAAGTTGCCTTAACTAACAGGGCATATAAATTGTTCCTCACTATAAAGTGCGTTATAAGTATTTTCGTTTTCTTTTCTTGTCGGTAAAAATAAATTTGTTACTCCGAAATTACGGCAACACGAAAGTGAAACTTCACCACATTCGTCATAAAATTTCAAAGGTTGGCAATGCAACATAAGCAAATAAAGAGCAAGAGCCACTGTTAGCAAAAACCAAAACCTTGGTTGAAATATCTAATATATCTGACTCACGAACCAAAACCAAACCAAAATTTAAACTCGTATATCAAGGCGTTAAAGTGGCCGATAGTCTAAAGGTTAGATGAGAAAACGGCCTTTAATTAAAAAAGTTTAACAATTGAAACTCAAATTTAAGTTACTATTTAATTTTGCAGTCATTTCGAAATAGCGTTAAGCACAAATCAAAATGAAAGTGAACAAATAGCTGATGGAGGGTTGCACAACACACTGCGCAAATTTGCGCTTCAAAATTGCCTCGCACGGCTTTTGATACAAATTTTGACATTTCATTTGCGAGGGTTTGAAATTGCACAGTTTGCGAGAGTTTTGCGCTTTTAAATGAGTACCCTGAGTGAAAAAAATCCAGCACTAATGTTAGTGGAACACAGAAACTATTCACTGCATTGAAAAACTGAGTTAACAGATTATAGCATACAATTTTTTGCTTAAGCATTTACATATTCTCCGTTACCAATATACATTACAAATATGGGCCAAGTTAGAATATTTTTAACTAGAAGACACGGCGAACTCGTCTCGGTCAAAAGTAATTATTGAAACATTTGGTCCAACGCTTTCACCAACAATTCACGTTCACGTTTGCATTTGGGGTCATCAGAGGCGGATGGAGGATCCATTGCCGTCTTAAATAACTTAATAAAAGCGTTATGCCCGTGAAGAAGGTCTTGCGGCAACAACGATCCGGTTCGATGGTGAATCCTCCTTAAATCTGTATAGTATAATAATAATAATGTATTGGCGCTTACACATAAGTTAGTGTTTGGCCGAGCTTCTCCTCTGACTTGTGGCGTTCGCCTTGATGTTGTCACACAAAGCGGAGGTACCTACAGTTTTACGCCGTCTCCGAACGGCGATTGTATTTTTATGAGAAGCTGTTTTTCATGGCAGAAATACACTCGGAGGTTTGCCATTGCTTCTAAATTTTTGCGATGTTGCTTTGACCAGGGCTTGAACCCAGGTGCTGATGAGTGAAAGCGCACACTGCTTACCACTACACCACAGCGGCCGTTGTGGTGGAAATGTCAAAATGAGGGAATCATTGGCCCACAGAAATCCAACATACAATTACAATTGCATTTGTAGGCATTTATCAAGAATTGTCTTTATTCTGATTAGTCGCCGTAAAGCACGGACCGCAATGGTTGTGATGGTTGATTTAAGGGTGGTAACTTGACCGTCATCCCCATCTCCGTGTGACTTCACTTGACGATTTGTTTCAATAATTCTGCTCCAAAACCACCTTGCAGCTCTTTTTATACCCGAGCGCACTTGCGTACAAGGGTACATGGGCATCATGGGCAAAAATCAAAACCAATAACTTACTAAATAATTGTTTTTTATAGCTTAAAATTATTGTAACCATTTGTTGCACAAAAAACAAATAAACAGAAGTTCACAAAAGTAGATATAAAACTATTCGTTGATTTAAATTGTTAACTTTTTACTGAGCATGTTTATTTTACGAGGAGGAAGCATCGAAAGCCTAACCACGTCAGTGTGAGACTTTAACCCAAACTAAAATTCCTAACGTCATATACCGTTCCCCTCCCGGTACCACCGTCAGGGATTTCGTCGGGATTATAACACTGTATGACTGATAAGGTTATAGATCTATTCTCTTCTTCTTCTTCTTATTTGGCGCTGTAACCGCCAAAGCGATTTTGGCCTACTGACGCCAATTGGAAATGCCAAACGAAGCCAGAATACTTTCAGAGGTGGGGCGTCGGTGTCCATTCAAACGACATGGTCAAGCCAGTTGAGCCGCTGTATTTTAATTCGCCATATACCAGCACGAGCATGATGAGTGACTTATAGTGTGGTTTTCGTACGTCGAGAGAGGACTTTACTCCTGAATTGCCTACTCAGTCCAAAGCAGTACTTGTTGGCAAGAGCGATTCTGCGTTGGATTTCCATGCTGACATTATTACAGGTGTTAATGCTGGTTCTCAAGTAAACGACATTCTCTACTTTCTCAAAATTATAACTGTCAAAAGTGCTGATTGTTTGTTTGATGACAGGAGATACTTCGTCTTGTCCTCGTTTACCACCAGACCCATGTCTTTTTTTTCATTGGGCAGGGTTTTAACGTGGCGGGACCCAAACCCAGCGCACGCGGGCCACTCCCAGTTGAATGGCAGTCAAAAGCTATGCAGTACTGGGAAATGTACAAAACATAGTGGTCAAAAGCGAATATCTCAACTAAATCCTGATGTATTTTAAATAAGCATAAGAAGAGCCGTCAGATAGATAAGGCGTGTTTAAATCGAGCTCTGTTAATTTAACGTTTTTCTTAGTGAAATGAACTTTTTTGGTCTGCATTATTTAATGCTTGAGATAGTGACTCTATATATCTAAAAAGTTTATTGTTGATTTCAACAAACTAATCTAAAATGCCTTGTGTATGCGGACAAAAAGTCGATCGCAATCGCGCGAAAGTGCAGTGTGCTCAGTGCAAAGAATTTTTTCATTTGGATTGCGCCGGTGTTTCGCAGAATGACTTGAAGTTTTTGCTCAGCTCAAACAACAAATACTTTTGTAAAGAGTGTACAGACCTTCGTCGAAAATCTATTCGCACTCCTCCGCCTTCTGTGAACCTGGTGGACAGTGAAATTGCCAATAATTTGTGTTTAGCCAACTCAACCGGTGTGCAGATAAGCGAATGTGACGATATATTTTCCCAACAACAACCACAAAAGTCAGCACCAACTAAATCGCTTAGTGAGAAGGTAAAAGAGTCTGAGCTGCAAACTACGTTATCTAAAATTCTTTGTGAACTCAAAGCTCTTAAGTCAGAACAAGCTCGTTCTCTTACTATGCTTCAAGCTGTTCAAGCTGACAAATGTCGTTTAATAGAAACTAATGAGAAACTGCACTCTGATCTAACATCTCTGCGAAAACAATATGATGAAAACATTGCTAATACGCTTGCTTCGCTCACAGCCGAAGTAAAAGAGCTTAGCCGCTGTACGTGCCAATTTATGTGTTTAAATAATAACAAACATAAGTCGGCTGAACACTTTGTCACTGACTCGGGCTTGACCGTCGGTAATGCTGATGCTAATGACATCGTCGCTGCTATAGCTAATCGGCCACCTTCATCTCTATCGTCTTCTTCTATTTCTATCATCCCGGCTGCTTCTGATTACTCGCTGCCTGCTGCTTCCCCTGATATTGTTGAGGTCTCTAATGCAGTCAGTAAGAAGCCGTCGACTTACGCCTCAGTCTCGCTTCCTCAGACTCGCTTGCCCATACGTCTGCTAGTACGAAAGCGCTTAATGTCGCGAATGGGGTTACTAACACATCTTCATATGAGAGTAGCACAGCTGAGTTAGGGTGTGCCAAAAATCATGAAACCATTGAACAAGCAGTTATAAATCTTGACCAATCTACTCGCGACTGGATAAAGGTATCTGATAAGCGACGTAATAAAAAAAATGAATCAGTAAAGATCTCATGTCCTGCTTCAGTCTGGTTAAAAAGGACGTCGAAACCAATACTTTAAAGAGGGTTAACTTCAAATTGGGTGTTCCTGAAGATGTATTCGGTAAACTTCCCAGGCCTGAGATTTGGCCCGCTAAGGTCACTGTACGCCCATTTCGTTTTTTTCAACGGAAACCAATCCAGTCGGCCAAAACCTAACATTTGAAAATTCGAAGGAATATTCGGAACGTGACGGTGCGCCCCCTCCGTTTTCTTCAACAGCCCGAAAGGCTAAGGTTCTGACAGTCAACGACTTATTATATACTTCTAAGCCTATTAATGAATTAAGAAGAACTTATACGCTTTATTATCAGAATGTAAGTGGTATGCGT